GATGGTTCGATAAAAACTATATCGAGGATTCCATAGTAGCTGTATCTACATGAATTTTGGAAGAACGTACAAGCTACATGTTAAGAAATTCGGAAGAACGTAGAATACATCAAGAAGTTTAGTTCAACCACCGAGAGGAGTTAACAAGATTTAACACTACCTAGTAAATTATCACAAGAAGGCATCTACAGTCACTCCTTAACTGTTTCCTGTATACCTCCAGATAAGTTATAATAAATCATTTAAATTTGAATAATTAAGTCTCTGTAAATTAGAATTTATCGCTACCTTATTTAATTATAGTATTATAAAGATCAGTGATATTCTATATTTTCATCACTGATCGATTGTCAAGTTTAGAAAGTTTTAAATATAGTGGCGTCCAATATTCTCTTTCAAAGTCATATGAGTTGTTTAATAACCTAACCCACTCCCTCAAATCGTAGAGCTTAAAACACTATAAAAATTGATAAAATAATAAGATCACATTACACTACATCTGTGACTATCACTTTTTTATATTTTTTAATAGTATTTAATAAATAGCAGGACAAATGAAAATGTCTCATTTCAATCCCAGCTAGCACATAACGTTGCCAAGCCTTTCGGCGATGTTGCATTAAGGGAACGTAATTACATTACTGTACAACGTAAATGCAACGTTCATAAGAAGTTGTTGAGGGAAAACAAAACCTCGCAAAACTTCTATTTGTTATTTACCTAGTTAACCTACCGTAAACATTACAAATCTGAATTCAGAACGTTTAGTTATATGTCAATTGTCCCTTGTCAGTTTTTCTTGTCAATTGTCTTTTTTAATGGTTTATTTTTCGACATCCAGAATTTATTTTATAAATAATTATTATTTATACATTCGAATAGATTTGGTAAGGGTCCTCTATAAAATAGATAACTATTTTCTAAACCATTGTCTTTGTTTCAGATTACAATGCCTGATGTAAATTTATTATTTCATTCATTAAGTATCTTTAGCAGTCGATGCCGATGACACCAAATAAAAAAAAACTACAATAAAAACAAAGAATTGCAGATCAATCGTTGTAAACCAGAAGATAAACATTTAACCGAATGTCCGGCAACATTTTACACCAAATACTTATAAAAGGTAATTATACTTTATCGAACTAAAAATACATTTTAAAAATATTATTTTTTAGGTTTCCTTCGACATTCTAGGAATTTTAGAAGCAAAAGTAAATACTACAGAAGTGTAAAGAAGAATATAACACCTGAAGTTTTATAAAAAGTGAATCTATAGGTACATGATATGTCAGATATATCAGAATTCAAGCAGTTCATTCTCTTCAACAGGCTAGATTGCCTGGAAATGCAACCATCAGTTCAAGTGAAAACCCAGCAGAAAAGTTGAGAGAAATCATAGATGATACTCTCGAGTATAATAGAATATCTTACTAAAAAACACCAGTTGTTTTTTATAAAATCTACATATCGATGGCTCAATCAAATACTGCCACAACTAAAATACTATTATTTCGAGAAATTTCATTTTGAAATTTTGTAAGTCTCTATTATCATTATTTTGTTTTTGACATACTCTTTATATTTTATTTAAAAGCTTCGATATTTTGCTGTTAAATAAAATGATTACGATTATAAAAGTGAGTTGTTGCATAGTTGTAAAAAATTTGGGTGTTTTTGAAGAAAATAACTCGAATTGAGGCAGTTTTAGACAGTTTGTGGCTACATTTTAAATGATTTATCTTTAAGGATATTTTTGTTTGTGGTGGTATTTAAAGTAAAACCGTAATGATATTTTGCATCCATTGAACCAAAAATGTAATTGCTTTGTTTTTTGACTTGTGGCGGTTTTTGATTCAGCCATCGATATATCTACTTTGGAAATCAAGCATAAAATTTGTAAAATTGAAACAAATTTCAATACACTAACATTGGTTGTTTTATTTAAAACAACAAAGTAAGGCATATTTTTTAATTTCTATATAATTTCCTTTAATTAATAATAGGTAAACAAGTTATCAATTTCTTTTTTATTCAATGTATTGAGAAGTAAAATATTTTTATATAAAAATATAATTTATGCTCTTCTAATAAATTGTCATATTTAGGTTACATTATAGCACTTTATAAATATCTATGCAAAAAAAGTTAAAAGGCTTGATTTAAAAAAGATATATCTCTGCGTCTTAGGTAAGAAATCAGCGAACTTAGCTATCCTCTAGTAATCTAATATAATAATATGTACCTAGTCATTGTTGTATTCGTTTATTATTTTTCACCAATCTAGCTTTATCATCGTTCACCATTTAAGGTTTTAGTGAACCTTTGCAATATTGGTACCTTATTATACTATTTAGCTAATTTTGTCCAATCGTTCAGTGCTTTCTAGGTAGCTTCTTCTATCCCACATGTGTACTTGTGTTTGTGATAAAGGTGTGTTCTTTTATTCAATAATTATTCCATCAGTGATTGATGTAATTTATCTATTCTGCAGTCGTTTTATATTTGAACTCTTATATTTTAGGTTAACTTAAATGATTGATTATCCTCACCATTCGTCTATCACATATCCATCGGCTTTTAAAGCCGATGGATGCCTTGGCTCATTGGTGAACTCACCGCTGGAAAAAAGAATGATTGACACATACAATCGTCTTTCCATCACTTAATTTACGAACGGTTTGCTGCAAGCGCTGGATACAGCACTGAATAAAAGAACACGCCTACACCTACCTCTACTTTTGTGCTATTGGTACTTGATTTCAAGAACATTTTAATAATACATTTATATAAATATTTTGTTTTATTTGAAATTTTCATGTCTCGATTGAGATTTTACTATAGCCTCAATTTCAGCCTCTCTGTATTACATTACACAATGTGTGTCCACGGATGGACTTAATTATACTTGTAAAAATATTTATTTTAAATTAAAGAAAAAGTTATTTTTCATAATTTCTCAATGTGAATCGAATTTATTTAACAAGCAAGAAATTATGAAGAATTACTTTTTTAATTTAAAATAAATATTTTCACAAGTATAGTTAAGCCCATCCGTGGACACACTGTATAATGCTGTAGATCTAATTCACATTGTAACATCAATAGAACGTTTTAGAGCAACTTTCGCGGTAAGTACCGTAAAAGTACTAGTGTGATGTTTTTCGAACTTCACTTTGTAACTTCTGTGAGATGTGCTATAAAAGTCTTGCCGTTGCGGACATTCGGTAGTTGCAGGGAGATAAGGGTTACATTTACAGTACATTGCATGCGAGCTTAAAGAGCCTAAAATTGCAGCTTATTAACGTAGATGGGATGTTTTTGTGCTAGCTGGGATCATTAAACATTTTTCTATAAGCTGCCAAAGTTTCACTAAAATCCATCCAGTGAATAATAAGTTCTGTAAAAAATCGTAAACCTATGTTTTGACCACGTAAAATACACTGAAATGGCGGCCTTAATAATACTGCAAATATCGTGTACAATTTTTTTGCATAACGAGCAGTTGTAAGTACCTGTACTTTCGTTGCTGCAAACACAGCATTCTGAAACAGCAGAGTTTATGGTACTGCCTACGGTGTTTGCCTCTGCCGGATTTTCATGTATTATTATGGGCATTTCCTCGAGCATTTCTTCTGTAAATGTATCAATTTGCATTTCTTCCGTAAATGTATCAATTTGCACAACCTGTACTGTACTTTTAGTCATTTGCCTAAAAACGTCTACGGCAAATGCCATTTTCTCAGGTAAATGACTTTTAAATATAAATTATTTTCATGAAGTCATTTGCCCAGGCCGATAGCATTTTCCTAGACAAAAGCCATTTGCCTAGAATTACCATTTGCCTGCGACATATATAATGGCATCGCAACAGAACAGGTTATCACATACTTTGACAAATGTTGAGTCACAAAATTGTTTTAGAAAGTTGCTCAGGAGCTTTGTGTTAACTAGGCCTTATTATATTACAGAAATTTATAATGATGAGACACTGTGATATGTTTTGTTTTATTTTAGATGTATGTATTAATGTTAATTTATAATAATGTTTGCTTATATTTTAGAGACTAATTATTTATTTGTGTTTTGTATAACAATATTGTATTTCTATTTTACCTTGGACAATAAACATATTCTCTCACTCTCGCTCTCTCGTTCTCTCACTATTTAGAATAGTAACGGTGCTGACGTTTATTAAAATGTCAGCTCAAATTTGGAAAATGATATTATTTTCACATTGAAAGCTTTACTAGAAGCTTTATAATCTAAAATTGACTTGTTTTAGGATTTTTTATAAATATGCACAGTAACTGAGCTAATGAATTTATTCCAATTGGATGTTACACACTGTAGGTTTTGCTAACCAGGCAGTACATAAACTAATTTATCAAATAACTTTGGAATTTCAGAATGAATTAAAAATCCGCAATAATTTAAAGTCATTGCAATATCAATGTTGTGTCTACCCGGTTACATCTGGGGTTTGCGTATTTGTCAGTCCACCCATTAAATTATTCACTTAGTTAAAATGGGACATATAAAACTATTCTTTTAAAAGCTTGGCAGATAAGTTGTACAACAGATGCAAGAGTTGTGTCAGAGTACAAACACAATTTTTCAGGTAAACCATCAGGAACAAACGATACTTTATACATTTCAGTTATACTATTAAACATATTTTCTATAAAAATATGAAAATAGACTTTATCATTGTTGGAATTTGGAGAAACATAAATATCACTAAAATACAACAAAGAAAATTTTTTAGCAGAAAGGCACACTTGTTAGTCTCTTTATATGACTTGTGGTTTATATTTCTGGTTAAAATAAGATGGAAACCAAGACGAAAAATTACTATTCCAGAACTTTTTCACATAAACAAACAAATTAAAAGCTATATCACCCAGTGAATCATCTACTTAGTTAAAAAATCGAAATGATTGTTCCTCAGAATGTTAACACATGCAAGTGACCCATCTACTAAATCCCCAACATCTTACCTTATCCTTCTCCCTGTCCTCTTTCTTTTTCTCCCTGACCCCGAGTCGCAGCGCCAGGCGGATCCTCCCCGCCGCCACGGCCAACTCGATTCTGTCTCCGGTCTCGACCGTGGAGGTGATCAGCAGCAATCCGAGTGGTTTACTCGTTCTGGAACAAAACACAGACGCTCAGTTTTAAGGGGCACTGCACGGTACATCCACAAGTCGACGGTCTTAGCCGAGAGATAAATTTATTATCAAGTGGTATGGAGTTAAAACGAAAACGAGGTTTTCGAGGAGAATCGGGAAACTTATAGGACAAATTTTAAACGTAATCGCAAAAGCAGCAAGGGAATAGATGTCTATAACGACTCTTTCAATGCTGTCTTCACAGGGAAATGAAGGATTTGGAGGGACTCCAAACTGGGTAATACTGCAATTATGATGATAAATTGAGTGAACATCGAGTGACCGATTAAATATTAAATACCCGAGCTAGAGTGCATTGAATATAAGTCTAGGCTTATCAGTTAAAAAGAAAGATGCCTAATTTTTTATTTGCGATAAAAAATATCAGTATTTCCTGAGCATATGGAGAAAACTAATTACGTCTAGCTTGTTGGAAGTATATAGCAGTAGGAGGTGGACCAAGGAGAAGTGTTAAAAAAAGAGGAGGAAGATTATTTAAATTCACAATTATTATTAAGATATTACATTTTTGAAATTATTCTAGGAACCCATTGTAGTCACAACCCTTAGTGCTCGTACGATATTGCAATCGTTTTACTTTGTACAAAGTGGAACCATTACAAATTGGCGAACAACGTGTAGGTGATAAATTTTCGCAACAGTAGAAGTGACGGTAAGAGAATTTTTATTATTACATTGATCCTTGTGTATTTGTTGTGTTATAGAGATAATTTGAGAGAGTGGGGTGTTTAGGAAGTAAGCAGTAGTTAAAAATAAAGTAAATATAAGAAATTAAGAAGTGGTAGAAGATGGAACAGATAAGTCAAGGGGAAAAGGTTCAGATTCAAATAGAAGTTCGGGAAAAAGAGAAGACAAAGTAGAGTAAAAAAGAAATGGATATAAAGAACATGTTGCAGGTATTAACGGTAAAAATGTAAGAAAGTAAAGGAGAAATGAGAGAATTTAGGAAAGAAGATAAAAGAGAAAACGAACAAGTTTAGATGAGAATAGAATGAAATTAGATGAGAATACAAAGAAGCTGCTATATGAGACTGGTGAGAAGATGGAGAACTTGGGGAGGAAACTGAGGGGAGAAAATAGAGAAAATAAAGGATAAATTGGAAAATTAAAATAAAATTGAAGATAAAGAAAAGAAAAATAAAAGTATAGAAATGAAGAAGAAAAAGATATACAAGAAACGTATGTAAAGATTGAAATTAATATATAAAATAGCAATTGAAGAAAAAGGAGATAATGAAGAAAGACAGATTCACAATGTAGAAAAAGAATATGAATAAAATTAGTAAACGGAAAAGAGGTAAATGATAAAAATATAAGTAATTGAAGAAAAACCTATTTATAATGTAGGAAAAGGAGTAAATATGGATAAAATTAGTAAAAGAAGAAAATAAATAATTAAAAAAATGAGAAAGATAAGTAAAAAAAACAAAGTCAAGAAGAAAATAGAAAACAAGATAAAGGAAAAAAGGGTTAAGATGAAGAGACGTAAAGACATTATACAGAATAAAATTAATAAATAGAATAATTTAAAACAGATGCAGGGGGATAGAAAAAATAACAAAATACGATATAAAAATAAAAGTGATAGTAATATAAAAGTAAAGCAGATACAGAAAGTGTATGGAAAAATAACAGAAAATAAAAATGAATGGAGATAAAAGTGAAAAAATACGAATCAAGAATAAAAGAAAAATCATATTAGGTAAAAATGAATGTAAGAAAATAATAAAGAATTAAAAGAGTGAGAAAAAAGTAAAAGAAAATGTATAAACTTTAAAACGGATGGAGTTTTAGGATTTAAATTTGGCGAGAATATAGAAATTGAGAAAATGTGTTGATATTTAAGTGAATATGAAAGAATGTAGTGAGTAATAAGGGATAATTGACATTTTTAGTATTACAGAATGTAATTGTTCAGGCAGAAAAATAATATTTTAAAAGAGTAGCAGATAGATAGATATAAAATGGGCTAGTGCAGAAGAACAGGATGTATAAAAAAAGGTAGGAGCAGCTAGCAGGAGAATATGAGATATCGAAAAACAGGAGTTGGAGGTATAGAGCAAGAGGAGGTGAATTGAGAGAAGTATTAGGAAATGAAAAAAACCGGAACTCATTTTCATTATTTAAATTCAAAATTATTATTTAGATATTAAATTATTGTAGAAAGCTATTGGAGCCACAACACTTAGCGCTCGTCAGGTATTACAATAGTTCTACCTTGTCTAGGGTGGAACTATTATAATACATTATATTTTTCTGATTACTATAACCTATAAGGTCACTCGCGTATTGTGCTCTGCTTGGCTATCTTCAGAAATGGCCCCAATTGTCTGGCAGATGAAGAACTACTAAGATAATTTGTAGGTGATGTCTTACTTCATTCTTGCCAGCCAATATTTTGCTCTTTTCTTTCACTACTGGAATTCCAAGGTCTCCATAAAAATCTGCATGGCGCAGATATCATGAATTGTTCACTATGTTGCGCAGTACTTTGGATTTATTGTTATGTCTGGCACGTCCCCATAATTGATGTAAAGCCACACCGGTCTTAAAAGTAGTTTTTGATTAATATATTATTATATAACAGTTTTGAGTTACTACTAGTAGTACTGTTTATTCCATCGTATTTGGCATCAAGGATCTTGCCAAAGTTCTTTGCATTTAACTCATAAGGTAGCTAGAGAACAGAGGCTCTGTTATACAATATGTCTCACTAAGTTGGAACCATACAGAAAACTTTTTTATTATTGATTTTGTGGAAACATTTATTCTTGAAAACTTAAAATGTGATTTTTGCTGAAAAGTAAAGTACCTTTATGTTTGGCAAACCTCGTATGAAATCGATAAAATTTGATATCCAATGGTTGTATTTTAGGTTTTAGACCATACTCGACTTTTTATGAAAAATAACTTTTTTATTAATATTATTAGGAAAAAGGTTATTCCTCACAACAAGTCGAGCATGGTCTAAAACCTAAAACACAACTATCGGATATAAAATTTTATCAGTCGTATACGAGGTTTGTCAAAAATAAATGTACTTTATTCTTCAGCAAAAATCATATTTTTTGACAAACCTCGCATGCGGCTTAAAAAAATTGGTATATGTTGGTTGCATTTTAAGTTTTGGACCATGAAGACCTTTTTATCAACAATAAATTTTTTTACAAAACCAATAATAAAAAAGTTTTCTATATGGTTCCAAGACCTATTGTATATTTATTACTAAATTTTAAATGAATAGCTTTCAGTTTATTAAGGTTAATTCTCAATTGATTGGCCTAGTTAACCAGAGAATTGTTACAAATTTGGAGTTTTCTTACTGATCTTTGTTATCCGTGCTCGACTGCAAGGAGTGCAGTACCATCAGCGAATGTAGCTATAGTCATATCTTCCAGAGTTGGCAAGTTTCTAGTGTAGAATAAGGATATAATTGCTGCTAGAACATTTCCTTGAGGCACTACAACTCCTATCTCTTTTAAATTAGAATACTTGTCTTCCACTTTGATTCTGTTATGTCAAAGTATTGTACAACGTCTAAAAATATAGCAAGATCAGTCTTGTTTTTCTTCATTCTTCTATAACATCCGTGAATATGTGCACTTGGTCAATAGTAGAAACATTAATTGTATATTAGGGATAACTTCTAATCTTCTATGAGAAGTTTTAATCTCTTTAGCAGTAATTTTTTAAATAATTTTGACATAATTGTTGAGAGAAATCCTATAGTACTTCAGATTTTTCGGCGGTTTTCCTGGTTTCGGCAATATTGTTACATCTGCATCTTTCCAGCAAGCCGGAACATGTTTCAGTCTGTAAGCTGCATCAAACAGGCATGACAACATTATTTCTAGATTTTGTAACACATGTATCATGAAAGTATGCTTAGAGCTATATTTATGATTGGCAACACTGCAGTGTCGGCTGTCGATGACTGTTGACATTCTTTTGACTCTTGACAACGTTGCAGTTTCATTTCTAACCTAACACTTCACAGATTTCACCAGTAATTAGGCTAGAAACGCAGTGCTTTCTTCGATTTATGGTTACTTTTAACCTCACCAGCTACTTCTTTGGATGTAATAAGGATGATGTTTTTAGATTTTTAATTACCTATTATAGGCAAACTCTTTTCTTCCTGTATTTGATTGAGTGTGAATATATCTGACAAATCAAACAAGTCTGCTTTCTGTTTATCCTTGGCAGTTACGTCGTTAACTTTTTTTTCTCTTCTCAACTGGGTTATTTATTCTTTCTGTCAAATAGGTTATTTTGTTACTGTTATTGTAAGCAGCAATTTTTGAAGAGTTGTTTTCAAGCTGATTTTCAGATAAATCTTGTTAATTCGAAATTCTTTCCATTCTTATACGTTTTCATTTAATTAACTTAAAAGGTATGAAATGGTTGCCCACTTAACTCCTCAAATACTCATGGATCAATAATAGATAATTTAAAAACAAGATTTTTAAATTTGGAAGATGTTTCAAGTTCCTCCTCATCGCAATACTCTTAAAAAGGGAAACGGGCGACAAGTTTAGTTGGAATAGGGAGATTTCCAGGTGCGGAACGGGTAATAATTTTAAATTTGGACACTTTGGGAAGAGATTTTTATTATTCGGTCGTTTTTCGCGACGGCTGTGACTCCAAATTGGCCGGAAAGCGGAATATATTCAGATAGCCCGAGATGTATTCAAGCTATTCTGTTTTATTTATTAAACCTTTCCTTTGTTCTGTGTTCCGGAAAACGATGCTGTAAAAGTATCACGATGTAGTGGATCTTATACACACTGCTCTATATTGACGAATATCTTATAAAAATAGTGGGTGGCTAAAGTCAAACATAGCTTAATCTATACAGGATGTTCCATTAGAGCATGTTGCAAAGTTGCCAATAAACCATCTTTGTTAAAAATTATAAAATGATCATGACTTAAAATAAAATTGTTATACTCTTCACAAAGTAGTATGTAAGCGTTTAGTTAGGAAAAATCTAGCTCTATAAGAGGACGAAGCTGGTTGATTTTGAAAAAAATCTGAATGAAAATGGGAGGTTAAAAGGGGGTTGAATAATAAAAAAATCCTAACTCAAAAACGAAAAATGATATCAACATGAAATATTCAGTAAAAATCAAGCTCTATAAAGAGATGAGGTCTATTGATTCTGAAGAAAAAAAATTAATAAAAATGGGGTTGAAATATTTAAAAAATTCTAACTCAAAAATGAACAATAATATCAACTTGAAATTTTTGGCGAAAATCATCCTCAAAAAGCCTATTGATTTAAAAAAATCTGAATAAAATGGGGGTTAAGGGGATGTTGAAATAAAAAATAGAAATCAAAAACCAAAAGCGATATTATCATAAAATGTTAAGTAAAAATTAAGCTCCATAAGGGAATGAATAAATAAATAAAAATTGGGAGATAAGGGGGTGAGGGTAGAAATATTGAAAAAATCCTAACTCAGAAACAAAAAATGATATTAAACTCAAATCTTCATGAAAATCAAGCTTTGTAAATGAAAATCAAAGTCTATTGATTCTGAAAAAAACTGATTGAAAATGAGGGTGAAGGGGGATCTGTTAAACTGTGAGGAGTATAATATAGAATGCCAAGTATTATATATCTTCATGGTAGTTATAATTTAGATAGGTCAGCAATAATTTAAATTACAGATATGTATCAAGCTAACGAATAGTGGCGATAAAAATGGTTACTTTTATACCGATGAGTAATTTGATAAATGTGGCTTACTGTCAATTCAATTTACTCAGTATTTTCAAATACAACACCCTGTATATTATTTTAGTAATAAATTCGTTATGGATTTACCTATTTAGCGATAATAACGTGTTACTCTATTCGTTGAATGATTGTGTTATTGTTGTATATACAACGAAATTTTTAATACAAAAGTTGTACTCATCTGCATTATTTTAAAATTATTCTTAAATATACATAGTAATCCATAAATGAGGTAGTAATAAAACTTATATATTTTTTAAATTAAACTCGCTCTAAATAATTTTTTGAAATCTTCAGAATTTTCCCGTTTTATCAATATAATAATAAAAGTATACAGGTTGTTACTCATAATCCATTATTTCACCAGATCTGGCGAAAATGATGAAGATTTGCATAGGAAGAAGTATTTTCCCTATTTATCCAGAAACTAGGTAGTTACTAAATAGCAACGCCGCATCTTTAGGGCATCATGCATCGACAGATCTCTTGGACAGATAACTGAAAAAACAGACAAGGTTCACTGGATGGAGCACTGAAGATGCGCTGTTGCCATTAGGTACCTAGTTTCTAGTTAAATATGGAAACTACTAACCGGTAATTCTTATGCAAAGCAACGTTGTCATGAACACAAATCTTTAGAATTTTTCCCCAGATCTGAGGTAATAAGGGGGAATGTGTACTAAGTGGACTTACTAATATATCACTATGATATATTGTTTGGTTTAGATTCTGGAGGCCTTTTTGTTGTAAATTTATAATAGATCTAAGTAATTATGCATAATATATTTAATTCCTTACACATCGTCAAACAATTTTAACATAGTTCATATAAATGTTACACTCATTTTATGCTGTCTAAAGGGTATATCAAAATGTTAGGTTACGATTTTCTAATTTTTTTCTAATGGAATACCATGTATCACTAATTGGTTAATACTTTTTTTTAATTTGTTTGGTATTCACTATACTCGAAATCATTAGAGTAAAATAATTTATGCAATTTAGCCGACTCGCTTAAATAATCTATTTATTTTATTCAATTTAACTATTTATATAACGTAGCTTCCTCGCTATATTGATTTAACTTTTATTGGTTTTTCCTTGAAAATATGTTTTAAATGTGGCCCACTAGCTCACCTGATTTAATATCCTTATTTATTCAATATAGCTCATTATATTTAATCCTTATTGATTTTTCTTTGAATAATTATTTGCATAATGTAGCGTTTCGCTCGCCTGATTTAACCCGTATTGATTTTTTTTGTAATTATTTTATTTAATGTGGCTGACCCGCTCACCTGATTTAATCTTTATTGATTTATTTGTTTATTGATTTTATCATGAAAATTGATACAATTAATTTTTTCCCGTTTTTCTAGTACTAATTTATATTTTGTTAGACTATTTATCAGCTTTATAATAAAATTTTTTAAAAAATTTGCTATTGTAAAATATTAGGATGGTTTTCTAACCTATTCCATTGAAGCCACAGAACAGTATGCTTATTTCAAAGATTAATTTGTAGGTGGTTTGGCTCGCTCCTCATTTATGGACAACCCTGTATATTTAAGAACAATTGAAGGGCTTATTGGGATTAAATAATAAGCTACAACATTAATTTATTAAGAAAACACGTCTTCAAAGGTTAAAATAAACTTCTATAACTACTACAACTTTGTTAATTTTTTTTTTTGGCTAATTATGGTATTTGTTGGAGAATTTTTATTTAGTTCAAGCTTTTGTAACTTTATTTTTAATTGCCATGAAGTAAAAATGCCTTTACTTTAAAATGTGTGGCTTATCACGTTTTTACAATAAGTCCTTCAATTTTATAATACAGTAATCAACAATTGGTATTGTAATGTGGGCCATTTCATTATTCAGTCATGCTCTATTCCTCCAAGTCCCTCTTTGGAGGAAGCGTAGGAGCTTCCAATTGCTATTCGAGAAAGAACGGGATAATGTTTCTAGTGTATTCCAAATATAACGAGATGTCTCTAGTATTGGTAAGAATTGGTGACCATTCTAGTACCTTCGCCATATATAAATATTGGTGGAGGATCAAGCGGGAATCAGTGATAGACAGCTGAGAATAAAGTATTGGACTGTGAATATAAATAGTGAACGATTCAAAGATATTCGAAATATATATAAATTAGAATATTATTGTTTAAAATAAATAAGTGTTTAAATAAATTATTAATAAATAAATTGTTGTTTTAAAATAAACAAACATCACAGTTTAAATATAACTAAGGTAATAAAACATTATTTGTATCTCCTCAACTGCATATATTTTTTTTGCTTTTTTTTTATTTACCTGAATCGTAAGATAATATCTTCAGTCTGGGTCACTTGCTCTGTATCCATGGTAACTTCCATGTGCTGGGTACCGTTGAAACTAAGAGTGGGTGCTTCTTTACCGCACGTGGGTCCACTGAATAAGGTGTTGGTACAATCACAAATGAACCTATTCCATCCTTCTGCACAGGTACCTCCGTTCAAACATGGTTGGGACGGGCATTGTTGAGGTTGGGTGTGGCACAGGGTTCTTATCGAACCTGAAAACAAAAAAGGAAATTAGTATCTATAAGAATAGGATATAACAGAATATATTATTAAATACAAAAATTATGAAATTATATAGTACTGTGGTAACTAGTAAATAGTCTATAGTAGAATCGCAAGCGGAACAGAGCAATATATCTGTCAGATCAGGAAATTTCAGGTGTGGGTGCCTATATTATTATTTACGGGGTACATAAAATCATCATTTAAAAATATATTTTTTTGAATATGTATTATTGAGTATTATTGTGGTATGTAGTTACTTTACAAAATGTTTTTTGTTATTTGCAATTGTTATATAAACGTAAATTAGCAACAAGGTATATAACAAATATTTTTTAAGACCTATAAATTTGACTATTAGGTAAACACCTACATTAAATTGTTTAAATCGTTATTCATCATTGACTTCTTGGAAATTTTTAATGTCAAGGTTAAATTTAATGACAACTTGAGAGAAAGGTTTCAGTTTAGAATATAGAAAGTAATCTGAGGGTTCAAAATCTACAGTATGTCCCCCTAAGTTGGAATCATATGGAAAACTTTTTTATTATTAATTTTAGGAAAAAAAGTTATTCTTGATAAAAAATCCTGCATGACCCAAAACTTAAAATATAGTCATCAGATATCAAATTTTTCAAGCCGTATGCGAGGTTTGTCAAAAAATATGAATTTTGTTCAAGAGAAAAGTACGTTTATTTTTGACAAAATCGAAAATGGAGTAAAAGTACTAAAATTATTGCTGATATGTCCAAAATTAACATATAGAGACGCATAAGATTTATTTACGGTATCAAACCTAACTATATTATTATACATAAAGACGCTAGTAAATCGATAAATCGTTTATTCTAATATATCACGCTGGCTGTCCAAAATATTTTATTTACAGCTAATTTAGCCATTTTCCTGTTACCATTGTGTTTAAAAGCCTTGCTCCTAATCGAAGTGCCCGCAACAATCAGCAATAAAAAATATCGGATCTAATTCAAACTGTGCAATTTCAGATAACATAAAATATTGTTTTACGGCCCCAAAAAATCAAGAATTTTATAGCTATGTGCCAGCTAATAGATTTACAGAGTGATTCTAAAACACAATTACAATTTACCGGAGATAGTTTTTGTTGAATGCGGGAGAAAACTAATAATTCTGGGTTTTTGAATTAACAAAATGGTTTAAAAAAATGCTGTTCATTTACAATAATTAATTAATATAATGGCTTATAACAGACTAGACCTGCAAGGTTTGTTCCTCTATTTTCTAAACTGATAATTTATGTATATATAAATACCGAAAACTGCCAAAAAAATTTTTATTTAAAAATGTGTAAGTTATTTAATTAAGTCGATGTGACCCTCCAGACAAAAATCAAGTGGGGAATTCAAGAAGGTCACTTCGATGCAGCTTTACTAGAAAGTGAGAAAAAATGAAAATTTATATAAATAAAACGATTTTATTAATTTTATAAATGGCCTAAATTATTTCAAATTTGAATGTATACCTCAAAAGATACCCAGTCATTTGTAGTAAACAGATAAAAAACTTTTTCATAGTTGATTTCACAGAAAATTTTATAATAGTTAAAAGATGGTTAAAAGTTGGTGCGTAGCCTAAAACCCAATATAAACTTCACCAATATTAAAAAAATTGTACAGTATACGAGGGAAATAAAAAATATTAATTAAGCTCAAGAATAAAGTATCCTCATTATCAAAAATAGAGACACCTAAAAAACTTATTTGTAATCAATATTTATCCAAAAGTCTGATATATCATTTTATTTTGATACGACTTTTTGCGACACCGTATACAAGGTGATTCATAAGAAATGGGTAAATATTTGACATGTCATATTATATAAAGAAAAATATTAATATTCTGCTTAATAACTGGGGGTAAAATAATAGGACTTACTGGGATACGGTTAAAATATTGTTACGCTGGTTTTTGGTATCACAATTTATTTTAATTCAACTTTTACAACAACTTAATTCAACTGATACAATAATTCTAACTGATAACATTAACATGTAACGTCTATCATAAAACTGAAAACTGACATCAGGATCATCGGCGTATATAGCTTGTTTGACCCTTCGCGAACCTTCTCGAAATGCCAATAATGTTCTTAACTAATAATGACGTTTCCCGACATTTCTGGACTATTCTATCTTCTTTTACTCGTACTTTTACTTATGATGATCGCAGCACACTAGAGTATGATGGGTGACATTGCACTACTTTTCGTATTTGTACGTTTCCTATAACGGCCGCAGGCTACTGCAGGGTGTAGTGTAACAATATTAACGCAGGTATCTGCAAATAATTTTTTTTCTCCTGGGCTCGTCTGACTATGTCTCCGAATAATACTGAAGCCTATTGGCTTATTGTGTTTTACCCCATGTTAGTTTATTTATTTATTTATTTATTTATTTATTGATCTTTTTTCCATACAAACCAAAAAGGTTTAATTACATGGATAAAAATAAAATTTAAAATACAAATGTATCATTATTAAGCTCTCACTGATGAGAGAAAATACCAAAAATAGACAAAAAACATTGAAATATATGTAAGTTTTATAAAATTGTAGGGGACCAAATTTTAAAACACTGTAAAAAATTAATTTTAATAAATTAATTCTAATAAATCAACTTTAATAAAATAACTATTCCTATACAGAGATGTTTACTATGTGATCTAGAATTATTCGACGGAAAATTCTCTTAGTCACTGTCCAGTCCAAATCCATACACACATTAAACTGGTTGGCTAGTCTCAACATGGCTACGAGAGGAGCTCTGGTTGTAGTAAAGGGAATATTAAACATAGCTGATGATCGCATTCTACGTGGTGAAACGTTAAATTGTATTAAGGATAATATATGAGGTGCATTTATATTATTATTAAGCGTATTATAGAGAAACATCATCGAGTTTAGACAACGCCTGCTGTCCAACGATATAATTTTAAACTCTCTTCTCAACTGAGTTGACCTTATTGTATTATAATCTGGTCTAACATGGTGTGTTTTGTAGTACAAATATCTAAGTAGTTTGTTTTGGACCTTTTCAACTTCTTTCATTGAATATTGATACTCTCCATACCAAATTAGAGAAGCACCCACTCTGTCACCTTTGTACCTTGTACAAGTTTGTACATATCCTTGGGTGAGTGGGTTCTATACGTTGTTGGATCAACCTGGGGTTGTCCAAAAGGTGCCTGTCTTTTGCGATCTAGATTCGTTATTCCGAGGCAGGCAGGTCCTTTTACCTTGCTTAGCCTCGTTATTGCTTTCCTTTGCTGTGTCTTTGGCCACCACACCAAAGCTGCGTAAGTTATCGGTCTTACCACCATGTTATAAAGCCAATATACTATGTCTGATTTTAACCCCCATTTTTTTTCCAAAGGATCGTCTTGCCTTCATTAACGAGGTTTCCGCTCTCCTTGTGGTTTTTTTCTGGATGCTGGTTCCAGGTAAGTCTCGAGTCAATCATAACCCCGAGATATTTTACCGCCCCCTTACCTCTTAGATTTAGAGGCCCTAGTCCTTCCAATTTCCTTCTGCGGGTGAATGCAATTATGTCAGATTTGTTAGGGCTAATGTTTAATCCTTCCGCCTCTGTCCATTTTGTTACTATATTTAGAGCCTCTTGCATTCGATCTCTTACTATAGTGTTGTATTTTCCCTGTGTCATGATCACTAGATCATCGGAACATCCCAGGGTTTCACAGGAGTGGAGACAGCACTCCACCCTGTGGACATCCTCTCGCTACCCGTGCCGCTATTGTCTCTCGCATAAGGGTTGTGTATATAGTTCTCTTCCTTAACATAAAGTCGATCCAGGACACGCACGTGTCCTCGATTCCTCTGTGTTTGAAAGATCTCATGATCGATTCAACGGAGGTATTGTCAAATGCATCCTCGATATCCAAGAATGCTCCCAGCATTACCTCCTTGTTTTCCAGTGTGTTCCTTACCCCTTTTATTAATTGATGGAGAGCTGTTTCAGTTGATTTCCCTGCACTATAGGTTTCTTGGCCTTGCAAATAAATTAAAATTAAATGATTGGTAAATAAAAATTCAAAAAAGTAACAGCTAATAAAAATAATTAATTTAGTGCTCTTGGGCTAAAAATATTTAAAAATTTTAAATTAAAAACAAAAAGAATTATCTATTTTTTAAATAGATTTTTAAATATTATCCTAAAAAAATGTCAACTTTAAGACTGTTCAAACCTTCAAAAATGTTATTATCTGAATTGTTCCAGGAGCAAAACCTGCTGATTTTTCCCATTATCGAAATTCTCTAAAACTACCTAGAAAAGTTCAAAACGTATAATTTTTATAAACAACAGGCCACATCAAATCAAAACAAAATATCAACTCTAAGCGTTCTGTAAACTACTAGGTCTTCAACAATACTCAAAACCCACGTGATCTGGTAACATTAAAAGCGCAGCGAAAGGACCTGATTTGGTTCCTTACATTTCAACTGTCCTTGTCAATACTGTCAAAAATATAATTAGTGTTCATTTGGGTATATTTATAGGTTATTTTTTTTTGCTTTTTATTAACACGCTTTTATTCAATTTTCTTTTCTGTCTGTAGGTGTAAATTTATTTAGTTTTATAAAAGTTTATTGTGTGACGCTTCTGGCTTTACTTGCTGTGAAGGAGGAAGTCGTGTTTGGCGTTGAGATGGTAAAATCAAAACAAGGTTTGCTCAGGCGCCAGTTTTGCTAACGTAGTTAGCCCATGTAGTACACTAGAGTATACTCAATTTAGATTCAGTGGAGTTAAAAATACCTCCAAGTGGTCACCGCTAATGGGGTAGCTACTAAAATAAAATAAATGAAACAACACTACCTTACACCTTGTAACTTCTACGGTACGGTTGAGAGCCATTTATAAAAGAATAGAAACACAGGAATTATTAATAAAATATATTTTCAAATAAAACAAAAACATTATAAAAAAAATTTGGATAC